GGCGATTTAAGAATCAATTAAAAAATTTGTTAGTTCAAAATTAAATTGCTAGAGCATGTTATATTATATAGCATGTCCATTATGGACCATTCATTTATCAAACTGAAATTTATTATATATTATTTGCTTAAATAAAATCTATGAAATTACCTAGTTTGATTACGATATATATGACAATTAATAATTTTAGATTATAAATATTTGCTAATAATCTATACACTTTCTATCATTTTTGTTTAATTCTCTATTATTAAATAAATTACAGAACTACATCAATCATATAATCAAAATTTAGATTTTTTTTTGTATATGTTGTATTTTGAATTTTTCTAAACGAGTATAAGTTAGTAAAACTGTTAAAAGTCACATAAACTTTTGTGATCAAGGTTTATTTTTTTTTCTATAATAAGATACAATAATTATAAAATCATATGAATAAATAGTTTTCTTTTAATAGGTGTTTCTGCGAATACATATATATATCTCATATCCTTTAAATTAAACTATATATCATATGAAAATACATACTTATATTTTGATATTTGCATTGAACATATATTGAAAAGTTAATATGTTAATTTGAAATTTTCATCGTTTTTAAATGATTATAAATTATTGAAACCACTAAACCTTCCACATTAAAAAAAACCGTTGGTGTAAATACTTGTTATACAAATATGCAAATAATCATAAAAACATATGAATAGAAACCTCATTTAATAAATATCCATATTAAAGTATATTATATCTATGTTAATATCATTTAAATTTAATTATATATCACATACAATAGATGAGGTTGATTGTTTTGATTTATTTACCCTAAAATGATTGTACAAGAGTGGTTGTTTGATTTATATACACAAGCCAAATTATTACATAATACAGTATAACCTCTTTAAATTAATATTCTATAAATTAATATACATTAAAAATATCTGTAAATTAATATAATTTTATAGTTTCAAATTAAGTTTTTGGTCTAATTAGTATATCGATAAATTAATAATCTCTATAAATTAATAAAAAATAAATTTTTCGTGTAGTCCCAACAATATTAATTTATAGAGGTTTCATTGTAGTATTAGTAACTCATTTCTTAGTTTTTTAATATATAATAATTATTTTATTATTTCATAATATGCCGAAAAACATAAAATAAATATAAATCTTTATTCTACACAAGGCACAGATCTTAAGCTAAGTATGTATCTCTTTAATAATTTTAAACTCAAAAATCAATATTTACATCGAGCAATACTCTAAAGGAAAACATGATGCCAAAAAGAGAAAAATATTGAAAATAGATAGGATTAGCACGTGAACGTAAAATTCCCATAGCCATAGTTAACTTTTAAATTTCTAAATAATGATATAAAACTGAGTTGACATAGTTTAATTATAACCAATAGTAGACCTGAGATTCTTCGGCCTAAACATTAGGTTCTTATGCGATAAGTGATTTTTTGACCTAAAATATTTTAAAAAATTGGATCAGCTCATGAGTCAACAAATTATGTAATTGACATTTAAAAAAAAAAATTGTTTAAGGGCCAATAATATTAATTCGATTAAGAATATAAATTTTATTTTTCCATACAATATTTATTAAATAATTTTCATATAAATTCATTACCCACAAGTCGTAAGTCTTATCCTAGTTAATAATTAAAGACCGGCATAATAGGGATTTTAAGTACTGCCCTTCTCTTACATTATACAAATCAAAATTACCAAAATTATCTCTAAATTTTAAAATTAAGCCAAAAAACTTCAATTCAAAAGCACTCATTTTTATTTTCATTTTTATTTCAAACACGGATAAATATTATATATTACTGATTAAGATATTTTAGTTTTTATCAAAAAATTAACCATTTCTTCTGTTAGTTATATTTAATGGTTGACTTCTGACAGATATGACATGGTTCAATCAAACAAATATGCAAATTTTGTTTTAATTAAAAATTAAGGATTTAAATGGCTTTGTAACTTCATCAGCTCAATTAAGATAGCTTACTTAAACATATATGTTTAAATAAACTTAAGGAATATATTTTTCCAGATATGAATGAAGAATCAAACAAATTTTTAACATAAAACGTAATTAAAAATAAATTCAAAGTAAGTTCAAATATATTATAAAAATAAGTAAATTTTAAACTCCAATTAAATTTAAACATAAGCATAAAATGATAACTATTGCAGACATGGAGTTACGAATACAGCTACAAATAAATACAATAAAATCATATAGTATGTCTTCAGTTTGAGTTTTATATTTATTTTTGTCATAAACTTCTTTTTTGTTTTTGCTGAAAGAACCACTGCAAGTATCGTTTCAAGAATAAACCACAAGCATAACGAAATCATAAAGAGATTGATCTGGAGGTGTTTAAAAAAATCCTAGCCGTCAAGAGAGAAAAAAAGAGAGATTTTTTAGTTTCAAGCCGATGGCCGGAGCTTCTATAGCTCCGACATCAGCTTGTTTAATTTTTCTTATTTCTATTTCTTCGATCTGTTTTCTTTATGGTCTTCTAGTTTGTTTGATTGCCAATTTATTTTGAATTTGGCAAAATTTTGGATTGTTCTTTTGTATGGTTTTTCCAATGGATTTGGAATGGAAAAAACTTCGGTTCAGTTGAATCGTTTAGAAAAGATAATTGACAGATCTACTGCGGATGGTGGTAACGGGTCTTACCGGCTTCAATCGTTTATGGTTCTTCACTTAATGGTGATGGATTTTTTTTGCTGCAAACTATGGTTACTTCGAAAGACAGCATGAAATTCTATGGAACAGTAATCTCTTTGGCTTTGTTATTATCAATAGAGCAATATAATGAGTTGTCTTCTCTCGTTAGATCCTACTGGAGTAATAAAAAGAGAGTAGCAATCGTTCTCAACTAATTCTGAAGTGTGGTGTTTCTGGATTAATATGAAGATTATCTCCTATGAGATTCAACTATTTCAGAAGCAAATATGGAGCTTTCACATGGAAAGTTTTAGTCATCTATACGCTAATAGATGTGTTTGTTTACTTTGGATCCCTACTGGTGTATCCCTTTTCTATATTGTTTTTGCCAATTCTCATTGTGTAAAACTATTTGCCTAAATGGCTTAATAATACAATCCAACGTTAAAAAAAAACGAAATCATAAAAGCATGAAGAGGTGATGGTGTTATGCTTTATTTTAGGCATTTACTTATTTTATGTTATATTTGAGTTTCTTTAAAATTGTGTTTGAATTTACTTTAGAGTTATGCTAAAAAGTTTTAAGTTTTTGATTCATTTTTAGCTTTATCGAGAATTTTTAATTTATTTTATGGAGATAAATACACAATTTTATGGTTTTGATGAGAAAATTTATTTTTACGATTTTTGCGAGAAACATAACTATACGATTTTAGCCCAATAGGCATTGAACAGACTAATCGACACCTCTAAGGCTAGATGGCGAGGATTGGGTATGGATAATTTACCTAGACCTAAAAATCCAAACCAGAACCGCCATAAATACCTTACCTAAAAAAAATTACAAGAACTTAGATGGGTTCAAATTTCTATACCAGAATCGAAAAGAACCAACCCGAACAGATCGAATCCAAAATGAACCGACCGAATAAATTCGATCCGATAAGAGTTGATTCATCCCATGAATATTCAATACTGTGACTCTGTGTAATCATTTAAATATTTTAATTTATCAAATACTTGTAATGTCATTTTATTTTCCATTTTCATTATTATTTTTTTTAACTTTTTCAAGTAATAAAAATCTTTAAGTGTCAAACTTAGATTTTAAATTGTTTTTTGAACAGAATTTTAAATGTTTAACAAAACTATTAATAGTTTATTTTGATTATTTTGTAAAAATTTAGATAAATATAATGGTTTTCGACTAAATATTGATCGAGTTTAGGTACTTTAATATTTTTTAGGTCCTAAATATCTAAACCGATTCGGATCTATTATATATTCAAAAATTACAAGTATTTTAGTTATAGAGTCAGAGTCAAAAAGAGGATTCCTCACTTCTTTCTCTCATTCAAAACCATGCATGAGAATTTCATCTAGCACGGTTCCTAAATGGTCGTTGCTTTTCTTTCTGTTACTTCGAAAGTAGCTATTTTAGTTTTAGCCACTCGAATTAAAGGAAAAAAACAAATAAATAAAACAGATTCTTATTTCTATATAGAAATATAAATCGTTTTTATTTCGATTCGATCAAAATAGGATTTTAGAAAATCGATAAGAACCCAAATAAAAAATTTCAAGTTCATAATTGACTCCAAATGTGTAAGAAGACCAAGAAGGAACCAGGTTCGATCCAAAGATCTGAATGCCTAGTGTATATATCTCTTCTTAAACAATAAAAGGTAAATTCTTTGGTGGTGGATAATAGTTCCCTCCACTCTTTACCATGGAGTAGAGAAAACTGTACTTTATATGATTATATAGAGAAAAAAGTAAGGTTACTCGTGTCAAAATGGCGAAGATACTCCTTCTACAAGTAGGTAAAAAAAAACTACTTCTACAAGTAGTAATTTTTATAGCTTCATAATGATGATGAGGTAGCAATTGGCAAAGGACTCACGCGAATTATCAGTGATCATACGAAGTATTAGTTGCCACACCACACAAGACATAAATAAAGTAATAGTGTAACTTTGTTCTTTTTTGTTTCTTGTAACAAAATTTGTTAATTTCATTTTCGCTAAAATCAATTATACTACGTTATGTTGTCCTTATAAAATGGAATGAAACTAAAACCAAAAGTAAAGGCAAACAAACCCAAATAATTTATTTTCATAAGGTAATAAAAGGCTACAATCATAAGATTGTTTAAAATGATAGAAGTACAAATAAATTTGCTACTTGTACAAGCATACCGTAGTGAAGAAAACAGAAGAATCATAATGATCTCTCATGCATAGTGTTCTGTAGCTGCAAGGATCTGAGGGTTTCTTGATGTTACAATTAACCTCTATTATCTGTCTTATTAAAAGTACAGAGCAAATATTAAGACCAAAGAAAACCCGTAAGAGAGTTTGACTTTCACATCGGATCCGGACGACACAATAGATTGCTGCGGAGGGCTGTGGTAGTAAAACGGAAAGTACGGAACGATTGGGTTTGGCGGCGGGGTGAAAGGGTTGTAGTTCCCTCCACTTTTTGGCGGCGGATAATAGTAGCCACCGCCGCCGGAAGAAGATGGTGGTGGAAGGTAAGAGCCAGACTGAGAAGGAGGTGGGTAGTAGTAGTAAGGACCACCACCACTACCGCCAGTTCTAGGAGGCGGAGGACAGGCAGTGGTGGTGGTGGTGGCTGGAGGCGGAGGAGATGGAGTCGGCGGAGGAGGAGAGGGATTTGGCTGACAAGGGTTGTCACAAGAAGTGCACATTGTACAGTCAACGATCTGAGATTTTGCTGAGGTAAGTGTAGTGTGCGTAGTCAAGAAGAGAAGGTGAGAAAGAAAAAGGAGGAGATGGGATGTTTCCATTGTCAGGATGAATCTGGAGTTCGTGTCTGCTGAGAGAATCTGAAAGTGAACGAAGCAAATCTTAGAAGCAAGGAAGAGGACAAAGAAGAGAAGAGCACAAGTGTTAGAGTGAAGCAGATGAACGTGTAGACTGTATTCAATACTTCCTTTTATTTGTCACAATTTGTTTTTTTTTCTAAATAAAAACAATTGTCTACGTAAAACTTCATAAATATATTTCTATGGTTAAGAAAGAATTCTTATATTATAAAATCATTATTTCCAATTTCAAATATTTTTTTTTTTGTTAACGACTCAAAACGAATAAAAAATTAATAAAATAGTAACGTGCAGCAGAGTATTCAGCATTCACTGCCTGGTTCATTTGATATTTATTTGAATTTCAACTCAAATCCTCTCCTCTTGCATTTACAATATGATGATGAACAAGGTTGAGTGCAGATAAGGAACGTGGAAGAATGAAGGCGGTTGGATTGAAAGAACCTCATAGGATCCGATGAGAAACGCGTAAGAATGGAAGTGAGCACGTGCATGTCGGCTCGTTTAATCAGCACAAGTAATGGAGTAAGTGCCTTTTCATAGGGGTGGGCACAAACCGAGTACTCGGTGTTTTTGGTATACTTAGTACTCGGCTTGGTTTGAACGAGTAGCAAATATTTTGACTTGCACTTGGTTTGTTAAAAACGAGTACTTGCAGTTTCAAGTACTTGCAAAAAATTGACCGACTTGTAAGTTACTTGACTTGTTTTATTACTTGTTGTAAATTACTTAAAATTTTATTCATAATTGTTGATAAATTATTTGATAATTCATTAGAATTGAAAATTAACTAATTTTATTATATATATAAATACTATGTCATTGTTTTCTTATATTTAAGTCATTCAGAAAATGGACTATATAAGAAAGAAAAAATTTCAAAATGCTTATATAAATATAGCACTTATGTTTGATGTACTTATGAATATGGAAATATAAATGAATTATTTTACTATAATTTAGGAAAATATATCTTTGTTTATTGACAAATACAAATAACAAACAACAAATCATTAATTTTATTTAATATTTGATTTTTTTATATTTACAAATAGTTTAAATAGATTACTTGATACTTAATTTGGTACTTAACTTGGTTAGAGCAATTAATATTTTTAAAGATTCTATACTTATCAAATAGCGAATAAGAGGTAAACAACAAGTAATTATGGCCACCAATAAAAGTTAATACTTAAATTGAAAAAAACCTAATAAAATAGATATATGTATTTAATAAACTAAGTAATATATAATAAATAGTGGAACAAGTAAATGATAACAAGTAACAAACCAAGTAACAAGCCAAGTAGTTGAAAATAAAAATGAACTTGATACTTGACTTGTACTTGCGAGTACTAAAATCTGTTTACTTATTACTCGACTTGATTATAGCAAGCACTTGTTTTTTCAAACCGAACCGAGTCAAGTAGCGAGTACAAACCAAGTATCAAGTATTTGTGCCCAGCCCTACCTTTTCATATTGTTCGGATCTCTGCCCTTTAATGTTCCTAAACAAACAATCCTCTAAACAAACGTAATTACCATCTCTTTCCCTTTCAACTTCATTGATTATTTTAATCTTTGATAAATATTTTCGATGTGAAGCTAAACGGAAATTTCCAATTATTATTTCCATCCATGCATCTCTCGGAGCACCCCATCAAAATTTAGATGGGAAGTTCACACGTTTCAAAAAAAAAAAAAATTAAAATAATAAATAGTGATGAATCTGTCCCTTGCAAACTCTTTATAGTGAACCCGGTTCATCACTGTAGCGTGGACCCCACGACATGTGGTAGATTGGTCTATTTTTTTTTTTTTTTTTTTAAAATCAAATAGAAAAAAACTTTAATAATAAAAATTAAAAACTTGAATCCCAAATAGGGGTTCACTAATGGGGATGCTCTTAGTATCTCCAATAGTTGGCTTCATTTTCTACTTAAAAATGCAGTTTATTCAAATGAACCAAAAAATGAAGCATGTCTTCTCTAATGGTTTGCTTCACTTATTTCTTGAAAAAAATATTCCAAGTATACTCTATGTCTACTTTATCATTACTTATTAATAACACATTCTACTCTTTCACATTTATTAATTTTACTCAATTATTTTGTTTTAACAATAATTTAGCACAATTGTTATTTAATATACATTCAACATTATCATATACGGAATTTATTACATATGAATAAACAAACACAAAAAATTATATTTATTTTTAAGAAGACATCTTATATATATTTTTTCTTTAAAAGTAAAAATATGAGCTTATTTATCTTCAATTATTTTTTTAAAAGAGTTAAAGTTCTTAAAAATGAATATTCTTATACTTTTCAATGTAAATATCTAATTAGATAAAAAGAATAGTCGAAATTATGAAATTTATTAGAGAATATTAACATATTTAATTTATTTCGATAAAAATAAGAATAAATTAAAGTTAATGACTAATTCATAATTTAAAAAGTTCAGCTTAAAAATGAAGCAATGAACAATATTGCTTCAAATTTGAAGCAGTACTGTTTATTGCTTCATTTTGAAACAATAAATGAAGCACTATTGGAGCAAAAATTATTTCAAAATAAAACAAAAAGTGAAAAATGAAACAATATTGGAGATGGTTTTATAATATGATAAAACACTGTTGTTGACATCTTTTTAAAACGCAAAGATTTTAAAAAGGTATGCAAAGCAATAAAAGCCACATGAGCAGTGATACAAAAAGATCCTCGGGTACTGGGTACTGTGCTAATGTGATCTATCATGAATGATAATATCTACTTTTAACCATGAACCTCACCTATTCTCTAACCAAAGCCCACTCTTCTTTTTTTTTTTTTTTTTTTT